CTTACTTTAGCTCATTCATCTTTATCCATCATTTTTCTATTTGACTTTAAACTATTTCATTAACCTTATTATATATTTTTTAAACATATATAAAACTTAAATTAAATATATCAAATATAAGAAATTAACTCGAAAATATTTTTAAGCTATCACATTTTCTTTTTAAAAAATTAATGTGTCTAACAATATTACATATCACCCTATATTATATTATATATTGTTAAAAAATATAATTTTTCATCGACCAAATTGAGCATTTAAACTAATTTATACATATGTTAAAAATGTGATTCTTTTTAATGTCATATGCTTTTAGTGAAAAATGCAATATAATATTAAAGTCTGATTTTGTTTCATAATTTAATTCTACTTAATATTATGTCGATAATTTATCTATTCTATATGAGAGAAAGTGGTAAGAAATATAATCTTACTGTAACGGCCTCGGAAATTTAAATGAAGATGTATGTATAAAAAAATCTTAAATGCGGAAGCGAAATAAAAATTTTGATTAACATCCCTTACACAATAACCAAAAACGTATTCAACATATGAAAGAATATGCTGATTAAAAGAAATACTCGAAATAAAAACTATAAATAGAACTATAAAGTCTCTAGACGTCTAACTCGCCGTCTTCCTGTGGAACGGGCTCGGGAACCACGTCGTCCTGATCTGAAATGGTTAAGTAAGGAATGAGCTATACTAACCCAGTAAAGACATCACACTATCTCACTGCCACATAAGTAAATGTTGGTAGAAAATAAAAACAACCAATGGAGCATAATTTATAACAAACTCATTTATTAATAATAAAAATCTTTACTGTCCACTTACCTCGGTGAGATTTGTGAAAATAACATATAAAGACAATAGCATTATAACCATCATAAAATCATATACACTTAGTAACATAGCACATGTCATACTTTTGCACTTTAATAATCAGGCAACAAATTTCCTATTTTACCAGCCTACTAGTATCCATGGGGATCCATAGGGGGTCCCCGCTACACGTGAACCATTAACATTAATAAGCTGATTCCAGGACCGTCCCCATACCTCGTCCGGTATGGATGCCAAAATCATAAACCTCAATACCCCATCCAGTATGAGGGTGAAACAGGCCGTCCCCATATCCCGTCCGGTATGGGCGCCAAAACACATAAGGTCTCCATACCCCGTTCGATATGAGAGACCACGTTCCTGGTAGGGTTCCCTACGGATCTGGTCCGTCCACCATCTCCCAGGATATCTAGTCAGGCTGTCCACATTATCCATTTATCAATTCACATAATCTTTTTCCTATTTTTCTTGGTCTCAATTTTTCAATCATACACAAACACGTAAACTAATAATAACACCAAACAAAATAACACAACATCGGGTTCACCATAATTCAAACCATAATAAAAGAAACCATGATTCATGCATACGAAACCATAAAATAAATATATCAAATTTCATACTGCATTTAATACTGAAAAATAGATCAAACAACAACTGACCGACAATATATCAGATTCGGGCTCCATTGACAACCTTAATCAATTATACATATCTATAAAGTCATAAAATACCGTTTTATCATTTATTAGGCTTTAATGCTGTGATAGGATATAGGATGAGAGATCCTTACTTGTTTCGGGGTCTGAAATCGGCTCTACAATGCGCCTACGGGCTGTCCCTAAATTCTTTAAATTTTCTTCGAGAAACTGAAAGGCACTACCGGTACCTGCACGTGTTCCAAAAACCCCAAATCAGACTCGAGGTCCCTTTTTGGCCAATATCAAAATTCTGGTACGACGACTTCGTCATGTTCCGGCGACGGCACTGCCACCCACGGTGGCAATCCGCCTCGGGTTGGCCATTTTTGATTGTTTTCGGCCGAATTCGGCTAAACTTGCATCGGTTCCTGCGATAAAACAATCCTAGGGTCCTCGATGGACCAAAAAATTACGAAAAATTGAGACTTACCGGCGGCGGAGCTCTCGAGTGCGGCGGCTTCTCCGGCGTGAGTTGCGATTTGATGTTTTGCTCCGGTCAACCTGTAGAGAAAATGACGGTGATACAGTGGTGTAAAAATTACATCAAACGGGAACCGGAAAGGGCCTCATCGGAGGAAAAAATCAAAGGAAGCCGCGGCGGCGCCGCTGGACTTCGGCGGTGTTTTTGGCCGATTGGCCGGTGGTTTAGCTCCGATTTGCCCATAAGCGGATTCAGCTTCGAAAAACGAGCCAATGGGAGAAAATTTATCTCGTTTGGTGGTCGGAAAACCCTCCGGTGCGGTGGCGGGTGGCACCGGCTGGCTCCTCCGGCGACTGGTTCTTCTTCTCCGGCGAGGGCATTGGCAGCTAGGGTTTGGGGTCGGGTGTAGGTGATGTTATTTATAACATTCCCTTTTAGTCTCAGCCGTCCATCACGATTTAATCTGGGCCGTCCGATCGTGATTAAAATGGGAATAAATCTGGGCCGTCCATCGCGATGCGATTTGGGCCATCCGTGCATGATTCAATTTAAGCCGTCCGCACGCGTGAGATCTGGGCCGTCCGTGCGCGTGAGATCTGGGACGTTCGCACGCATGAGATATGGACCGCTCAATCGCGTGCACGCGGATCACTCACGTGGCTCCGTCTGCGTGGTCTCCTGCGTTAGCTTCCTTGCCACGCAGCGTGTTCTGGTTGGCCGGGGCCGCTAACTGGGCTGCTAACGTAGTTACTAACGTGGTACAACTTTCTTAAATTACGTTTTGACCCCCGGTTTCTGATTTTCTTTTCAAAAATACCCCCAGAATCCAAATTTTCACCCATTTTTCTCAAAATCAATTTCAATTAAATCCCAAAAATAATTTTATCATATTTTATCATTATTATTATTTTTATTTTCATTAAATTAAAAGCTTATAAATTAAATATTAAAAAATTAAAATAAATAAGAAAAAAATAAAAAAAATAAATTGGGTGTTACACTTACATTGACAAATAATAAATATTATTTAAATATTTATTAGAGAATTTTTTTTAATATTTTTTTTACTGTACATGTATTAATAAAATAAAAAATAAAAAAATAAAAAATAACACGCAAAAGAATTATATAAAAAGAAAAACTCAGTAACTTTCCAAGTATAGAGTAGAAATTTAAGCATTAGCATAGGTAGTAGCCTAATAAAATGATGTTAAAAAAAAGTTGTCATTATCAATGATTAGGAGTTATAATTTTCCAATGGGGATTCCCCGGCGGAGGGAGAGGTTAAATCTCCAATTCAATCAGGATGAAAAAGTAAAATTGAAATATCCCTATCCCATCTCTACTTCCATTATTATATAGTCTTTTATTTTAAAATTATTTTTATTTTGTGTATTAAACAAATTATAAAACTATTAAGCATGCACATATAAATTAAATGTTTTTATAATTGAATATATATGGAACGTTTTGGATTATGATATTCTTTTACATTTGAATGTATGCAATTAGTAGATTATTTTTCTTTTATTTTGTATTGAACAATATTTTTTAAATATTTGTATTGACTTTTTATATTATGATAAAATAACTTCTATATATTTTAGATAAATTTTTTCAATACTTTAAAATTATAATTTAAATTCATCGAGTCATATCTAATGATCTCGTATGAAAGTCACCAGAATTTAACATTATTTGCATGATCCATTCAATATTATTTTTATTTTAATTATTAAGTATCGTTTGTAGCAATATGATCTGTCAATGGTTGAAACAATGACAATATATGATGGTACGATAATGGTAAAGAATAGGGTCTCTAAGTTTTATCTTGGCTATTAACTACTTAGTCAAAGATTCTTTATTATTGTGTATGATATTATTACAATAATAAATTATTTTTATTTTATGTTCATATAATGAATTTATTATAATTAGTAATTAATTTACGTTTAAATTTACTTTTTTTTTAAATTGATAATATTTGAAGAAATGATATGCGGATGTTTGAAATCATGTTTAGTCATAACTTATTTTTTTCTTAATAAATTTATATAAACTTTATTTAAATTATAGACAATAGAATGAAATAGTATAATTAGTCATGATACAACGATATTTACATCTAAATATGAGATATCATCATAAAACTCTCTTATATTTTACTATTTGTCCATAATTTGTATTTTAATTGAAATTATTAATTCCCTATATACTCAAATTTCATTAATTTAATACTAAATTTATGTTTAGAGTTAATTATAACAATGAAAGTATGTATATGATATATATTATTACATTATCTAATAATCTTTCTTGGAACCTTAATATATCAAAATTATTTTTCTGGATCTTTTATAATTTTCTCTTTACTAATTTTTATTTTTATTTTTTTAAAAAAAAAAGAAAAAAAAAAGAAAAGAAAGGTAATGGAAACATGAGCCATCAAATCACATCAAAATGAGAAAATTAGATGATGTGATTAGAGGGTGGGGGGGGGGGGAGGAGCACCAAATCACACCCCATTTTTTGTATTATAAAGAAATGGAAAATCCCCACGCGGAATTCCCATTCCACTTATTTTCCACGTGGCGATAACCTGTTGGTTGAGGCAACGTGCATTTGCCGCTTTCTTTCCCTTGAATAAGTAAAACAACATGGTAGTGGTCCCCACCGCGGTCGTATTGCTTACCTGCAGGACGGCACGTATTAAAAACCATGATTAACACCGTTTCTTGTTCCGCCGTTTGAGTTGATCAATTTTCTCAATTTTATATATATGGAAAAAAATTATATTTATTAAAAAAAGATGAATGTAAAACGTTGCGGTTTGGAATGGCGGAAAAATGATTAGACCAAAAAGAAGTGTCAGGAAAATAAAACACGTGTTTAAAATCGTATCAACAAAACGAGAGAATTAAAAAATTGTAAACCACCGGAAGCTGCAAGGAACGAGCTTTTAAAAAAGTCTCCCATTTATTCCTCGTGCCTTTTAACTCAACTCCCCCCAGCACCCCAAAAGAGACGATAAAAACTCGGTCTTTCTCCCTTCAATCCCCACACCCAGCCACAGATTGATTGATACCAATTACCATCAAAAAACATTGATCTCTTCAGAGACAGTGGAAGACATAAATCTCATCGCTTTATTTTTATATACGAATCGAATTCCAAGATCGGGTCTCTGCAACGCTCTTCTTTTTTGGATTCTCTTCTTCTTCTGTCGCTCTGTCTCTCTTTTGTTTAAGTTGCCCGTAAACATGTCGAATTCGCCTGAGTATTCAGAATCTTCAGGCCAGAAGCCGGGGAAGCTCTCGGACAAGCCAAGCTTCTCTCAGAAGTGTAGTTTGCTCAGTCAGTACCTCAAGGAGAAAGGTAGTTTTGGAGATCTAAGTTTGGGCATGACATGCAACATCGAAGCAAATGGTGAGTTTATTCACTTCCTTCAATTCTAGCTTTTACTGGGAATTCTTCCTTCTTTTTCAAATATATATATTCCGATATTCGGGGTTTACTATTTCCGTTTGGTATCTGAGAAAGAAAAAGGGGAAAAAAAAGAGAGGAAACCTGGAGAGTTCTTTTGTTTTCATTTGGTTCTTCAAATTTTTAGTTTAATAGATTAAGGCTCAATTAAGTCGATGCTTTAAATCCTTGGATGCGTTCAGTCTATCCCTTCAAAGTGAGCAATTATTTTTATGAAACCAATTAATCTAATTTGAAAATTTTGCATTATAATATAGTTAATCTCTTATAGAATTCAAATCTTTTTACCTGATTTATAGTTCTTTCTGGATTTGTTATTGGCGTTTACTTTGGATGGATTGGATTAGTTTCTAGTCGTTCAACTGTGTACAGATCTGCAAAATCTGGAGTTGGAATTAATCCTATTAGTTTGTTGTTTTTCCTTAATATCCTTGCGTATCGTTTGATATAAGCATGTCGGTTTATACCCTCAAATATGTATAGTTACAACTTAGCCCTGGCAAGAGATAATCCAAAGTTGGAAATACTCCATTTCTCTTCCCTCTCTGTTAGGATAGTCCCTAGTGGGTAGGCATATCTGACTCTAGATCTTTATTCAAATTGGGATAAGGTGGAGCTAAGAATTTTGTTATAAATACCCGGCTACCTATTTTACTAAATCAACTGATTAAGTTTTCTCATTTGAGTTTGATATTCCAAATTTAGAAGAAATTTCAGAGATCTGATGTTTTATTTTACCAAACCCAAAATTTTGCAGGCATGCACGACGTTCTGCATCCTGCCGCTACAAAAACCATGAGTTTGTTTCCGGTTATTGAGAAACCAGCTGAGGTTTCCTGCAGAAACATGGCGACGGCTCCTCGAAACCTGAAATCTATGGATTTATTCCCTCAACAAACTGGGTTTGCTTCCTCTGATTCTTCTAGGTGCGTTTAAGAAAACTGATGAGTAAAAAAAGCTGTCATGTTCTCTGAATGCTGGAGTTCCATTTGATAGAGCTATGAATTTTCTGTTTTGACTGATTTTGGCTTGGTTTTGTTGTGTTAGTGTAAGCAAGTCCGTGACTCCTGAACCTCAAACTGCTCAAATGACTATCTTTTATGGTGGACAAGTGCTTGTGTTTAATGATTTTCCGGCTGAAAAAGCCAACGAAATCATGCTCCTAGCAAGCAAGGGAAGCAGCCAAAGCTACACAGCTTTTACTTCTAATCCGGCTCAGACCCGACTTGTCTCTCCTCGAAATTTAACCAAGAATCCAACCGAATCTAGGAGTTCTCTTCCTCCTACCCCGACTGTACTTCCAAGTTTTGGCAACAATATAACCGAAGAAGCCATCAAAACTTCCACAGCTCCGGTTGGTTGTGGTAATCTTCTCATCCTCTAATCCAATTTAGTTTTCTTCATTAATTTAGGTTAATAGTTGTCATGTTTCTAATAGAAGTTTTTTCTTTTTCTCAACATCAGAGCTTCCTATTGCAAGGAGGGCCTCACTCCACAGGTTCTTGGAGAAGAGAAAAGACAGGTAGGCACTTGGAATCATATGATGAATTTATTGCTCTAGTTGTATCATAAGACTAGTTCACAAGGATGGAACACCATTGTTTTCCACTTTCATCAATCTGAGTTTTGTTTCAACTGAATTTCTCGGGATATCTTGCTTCATTGACAAAGTTATAGTTTGATGTTTACGAACTGCCCAAAAACAAAAACCAGGACGTAAGGTTTTGCTTTTGAAGTTTATAATCTCTAATCATTGTATCAAATGATTTGAAATAAATCAGATATGTTACTTGATAGACTCGACAACTTTCTTGTTAATGGAGATAACTAAAGCTCGAATTCATGTGTAATTTGCTGCTCTATTGCAAGGGTTAATGGTTTAATCGAATATATTGTTGTTGATTTCTTATACCAGGATTACTGCAAAAGCACCATACCAGACTGGTAACCCAGCAAATGGCTCTTCAAAACCAGCCGAAGGCAAGATATGGTTGGGTTTGGCGGCTCAATCACCATTGTTACAGTAGATAAAAGCTTAAGAATATTGTTTTTTTTTTTTTTTTTTTTTTTCCCTTTTTTGGGTCTGCTACAATTTAGAGACTGCATGTTTTTGTTATTCCTCCTTTTTTGCCTTCCTCGTTATTTATGGGGGTGGTTGAGGGTTACTGCTACTCTGGCTGGCTGTATCTGCTAGCTGTATTTGGTTCCTTCAGGAGCTCAACTTAGAGCAAACTTCTTCTTATAAACAGATCTCACTTTTAGTTTATGTAATTAAAAATTTTCAGAAAAAAAATTTAGTTAATGAGATAAAACATTTCATGAATTAGTCTCCCTGTTAAAGCATGTGTGTGTGTGTATATATATATATGTTTATTGGAAGTTTATTCTGATATGTAACGACTATGGTTTTAATATTTTCAATCAAAATATGACGGAACTTTCATTTCAAAACTCTGTTCAAGGGAAAAGAAGGAAATATGTCTTGAATTTAATTTAATTTAATTTTAGAAAGAAATTACTGTTGAATAAAAAGAAAATCGTGAAGCTTTTACAAGTAATTATGGTGATATTGAATTTTTGTGTTTTTAAAGGCTGAAAAGGATGTGTGAACAAATTTTTAACTTACTGGAAGATGTTGACATTTTTTTTTTTTTTTAAGAAAATGGGAAATAATTTCTCAAGATTCTTAAATAGAAATGATTTAGATTTGAATTTTGAAAAAATGGTATCATCATTATAACCATTATCCATCCGTCCATAATTTTATTTTATTAATCTTCAAAAGATAATTATTTTATTTACCTTGGAAAAACATACACTGTAAAAAAAAAAAAAAAAAAGATCATCAAACTATACTTATTATGGGTTTGGCGGTCTACCATTGTGCCTACTAAAGAGGAACGTTCTGCAAAACGTGTCTGATGAAATTTAACTTTTGCCAAAAATGTACTGTACTAATTTTGACTAAATTTGGTATGACCCAAAAAATGTGTTGAAAAATTCCAAATATATACCAACATTCCAGCTGGCTTTTTTTAGACATTTTCTTCCCAATTTCACGCAAAAAAGTATAAAAATCTCTTATGTCAGTTGTTGATTTCAATTCTCCCTCATGCCCATTTGTTTGTTCATTTCATATTATCAAGTCTTTATTTGGTTGTAATAAAAAATACTATATACCCATAAGCTATTTTAAGCTTTAATTTATGTTCTTTCTCATCTTTGACATTTCCTAATATGCACACTCACATTTCATTAAAACCATTACCTTATCTTACGAATTATTATTAAAATAATATAGAATGAGATAAAAGCGAAACCAAAATTCATTATTGGGGGGATATAAATATATTTATTCAATTGATATTTCATAATTGAGGTCACATGTTGTGTTGGGTCGATTTTATTTTACCAATCCTTTCGCCCACGTGACCATATATATGTGTGTGTGTGTATATATATATATATATATATATATATATATAATTGGTTGGTGGAACAGAAATGGTTTGCCCAATTTGATATCGAAGACAAAGAGTGAGATTAGATTTGTGTTTGTAGCGAGATCCACACATGCATCCTTCAAAGTTCACATTAATTTTCTGCTCAAAAAATTAGGTGAACTGTCCCTTTTCGATTTTGTAGGTTGTAGCACGGTGATATCGGAACATCG